AGTACTCTTTGTAGATGGTGGGTTCATTTCACCATCATGGAACACAATACCATATAGATTATTAAATCAACATGATCAATGTATGCTTCAGGCTTACATGAACATGTAAGAAATAATCATGAGTTATTTAGCTATAAACCTTAAAAATAATATGATTGTTTTAAAATGGTACCAAATTCAGTGGCAAAGGGCTTCCTGAAATAAATTGGAGTGGACAATGATTTTTGTTTGTTTATTTTTTTGTTTTTCAATGTCAGACATTGAACTTGGGGGCCTCACACGTGTGCCAAGCAAGCTATTATGTATCTGTGTGTCTGTAGTTCCCAACCTAACTTACATGTTTGTTTGTTTTTGTGTCCTGAGGCTTGAAATCAGGGCCTGGGTGCTGTCCTTGAACTCCTTTTGCTTTTTTCACAGCTCTACTTCTGGCTTTTGGGATGACTAACTGGAAATAAGAGTCTGATAGACTTTGCTTCCTGGGCTGGCATTGAATCATGATCCTCAGATCTCAGCCTGCTGAGTAACTAGACACAGGCGTGAGCCACCACTGCCGGGACCAATTAATAACCTTTTAAGAGTTTTACTCGAGATATTTCTGAATTTAAAAACCATTCAAGGGGGGAGGATCAGGTGGGGAGAGATGGGGGGAGTATAGGAAGGGATGGGAAGGAGAAACAAAGAGAAGGCAACAATGCTTGATAAGAAATGTACTCGTTATCTTGCCCATGCAATTGTAAGTCCTCTGTATAGTATTTTCAAAATTAAAAAACATTAGAAACCATTTAAAATATATTTTTGTGTGTGTATGTTACAGTTCTGGGGCTCAAACTCAGGGCTTGAGCACTATCCCTGAGCTTTTTTGCTCATGGCTAGCACTCTACCACTTGAGCTACAACCCCACTTCTGGCTTTTTGGTGGTTGGTTGGAGATAAGAATTTCATGGACTTTCCTGCCCACGCTGACTTCAAGCATCCTGAATAACTAGAATTATAGGTATGAGTGACTGACACCCAGCAAAACCATTTTTTTATTTAAATAAGTCACAAATCAGATAAGCATCTATGAACAGAAAATTATGTAAACTCCAGTAATAATGTAAGTTATTCATTTTAGATTTTCAGAACGTGATGTTCTTTTTTCCGGAGATGCTTTCTATATTTCACTTATGATAGCTATTTTGATAATGACCTCAAGAAACATTTAGACACAAGTATTCTTTTTTCCCAACCTGTTAATTGCAACTGACCTTATAATTGCCAGATCTGCTGGGGGTGCTTGTTTTTCTCTTTTCTAATCTTCCTATAGCATTTGTTGCTATAGGTCATATCTGCTCTGATAGGAAACCCACCCCCCAACTTTCCCTCTTCCCTTACATCTGTAATGCTCCTCCTTTTACTGACTGCTCCCTGTGTGTCTTTGTTAAAGCATCTTGCCTCATGACTCACACGTGAAATATTTCCTAGGATGCCTTAAGTATTTGATGATTTTGTTACTGCCTTCTTTGAAACCTCCAAGGGCTTGCTTCCTATGCTACAGAGCTGTCCCACGCTAATGATTATAGGGCAAATAATATAAATAAGTAAGTGAAGAGATCTAGGTGTTAAAGAGAAAAGTTAGCAAGTAAGTAGCGAATTCTCAACCAAAAAGGATATAGCTCATGTAGTCTTTTTTACTTAACTTCAGTTAAGTTTTTACCAACTTCAGTAGCTGTGAAAACAAGTGCTCTTTTTATCACTGCTCACGTTCAGCTGTTTACTGTGAGCTGGGCATGCAAGTGCTGCAGAAAAAACTAAATTAAACAAGAATCTTTCCTGTCCTGGGACTCACATCAGCTCTGGAAGATGAGCATTTATAGAGTCATAGTAAGGGTGGTAAGACTCAGAATTATTCAATATTGCCAGTTCTTCAAACATAAACTGAGAAATACAGATTTTTTTTGCACAAGATTCAGGTTTTTTTTCTTTTAATGTATTGACAAAATTTAAAACTATGTTCACCCCTGTTTACAACATTGGCCTAAAAAAAAAAAAGGTTATAACAGCTTAGTCTGCAATAGCAAGGCTCCCCCACCTCTGCCCTCTTTTTCCTGCTTGATTTTACATCCCCTTCTTTGTGTCTCATCCTCTATTCATGATTGACCATGCCTGGCCCCTTCATTCTAAAATTACCTCTTGTGTATTGTACTTCTTGCTAGAATGCATTTCCATGTCCCTGCCTTTTCACCCCGGTCAGTCAATACTCACTGACAGCCCAGACGTCAAATAGTCAGTAAAGTGATCCTAATCTCCCAATGTAAAATGACTCTTATTTTTCCAGTTTGTCAGAGTTCTCTCTTGGTAGAGTTCATGCTGATGTGCTTTATGGACCTTGATCCCAAAGAAGCTATAGTTTCATCTTTGTTTCCTTAGGCTCCAGCACATCAGTATATGAGTTTATGAGTCATTGCTCATAAACACTTATGAAATGAATAGAGAAAATCTTGTCCGATGTTGTTTTACCTCCCAAGCACCGAACCAACTGAGAATCTCTGAAGAGAAGCTTTGTTTACCGGGTAGATAAGCTTGTGAAAATTACCATTCGATGAAAATGATAATTGATGACATTTGAATGATTTATATTTGAACTGTTTACCTCCCACTTCCATTTCTCTACACACACACACACACACACACACACACACACACACACATCATGTTCTGAAATAAGTATGTCTGGTTTATGCAGTCCTAATCTGTGACTCAATTTTTCCTTGTGTTTTAGACTTTTCTTCTTTTATTGATTTCAAAGCCTTCAGTTTATCTTAAATAGTAGCTATCTGGGCATGAAAAGGTACAGATTAGAAATGGGGAACACTTTAGAGAGTGGAAAGTCTATATCTAGAATGTTTAAGGATAGTATATGTACTGTTCCACTTTAATTTACTTTGTGAGATTGAGGTCAATAGCCTCAATTTATAAAGATACTTAGTTATATTTTGTCTTATTTCAACAAGTTTTTCTTCTTGAATATCAATACAACATAAAATTTTATTTTTTGTCATAGCTACTTAGGAGGCTGAGATCTGAGGATCACAGTTCAGGCCAGGCTAGGCAGGAAACTCTGTGAGACTCTTAACTCCAGTAAACTACAAGATAAGCCATAACTAGAGCTATAGCTCAAGTGGTAGAGTGCTAGCCTTTAGCAAAAGAAGTTCAGGGACAGTGCCCATGCCTTGCATTCAATCCTTGGGACTTGGAAAAACAACAGCAACAACAAAAATCAGTTTTCCAACCACATCGGACTTATTTTTTTAACAAAATTTTTGCAGTATCCTATTTAATATTCTAAAGTACAATTTAAAGAAGCTATTTTCCAATCTTCTAGTTATATGTATAGTTGCTCAAGAATTAAATGAAAGGCCCACATATGATAGAAAGTTAAAATAAAGGCTGGGGTTTAGCTCACAAGTGGAGTACTTGCTCAGCTCCTCACAAAGCCCTGAGTTTGATCCCTATTACTGAAAATAAAATGCTGACATAATATTAATTTCTATTATAATGTTGTAAATGTACATTAGTAATTAGAGTAAAATAAAAGAAGTTGGTCATATGTTTGCATCTTTTAAGCAGACTTATTGTGAGTGTGATAGCCATAGGTATAGATGTATGTATACTTATTATTACTTATGTAAATAGTATGCCAAGATTTTCTTTTTATGATTTATTTTTCTGGAGCATAGGGCAACTATAGCAATGTGCTAAGCAAGGTATAAAATTTGGCTTACTTTGTTGGATTGTTGAATGTCTAGTTCTGGAGAATTTAGCTCAAACTAAAATAATATAAAGCATAATTAAGTTTATACATGTGATAATGTCTGATTCTGAACATGGAAAATCAAGAGCAGAAATTTCACCTGCACTAAATGTCCAGTGGAATATTTGACAGACATAGGGGTCATGAGACAAATATTTGTGTCCAAAACATTCCAATGTTAAGTGTTCTCAGACATTGCTCACTCCATTTCAATAGTTCCCTTCTAGTGGTCAGTCCTTCACCTCACTGAAAATGTTTCTACATATTTTTGAAATATCTTGTGAGACAATACTGCTGCAACTTCCTCGGATCTAAATCTTCCCAAGCAAATTTAGCATGTTTAAAACAGACATTCATGGACTGGGAAGGTGGCTCAGTGGTAGAACGCTTGCCTTGCATGCATGAGGCCCTGGGTTCGATTCCTCAGCACCACATAAGCAAAAAGAAAAAAGCCAGGGAAGTGGCGCTGTGGCTCAAGTGGTAGAGCTGAAGAGCTGAGGGGCAGCACCCAGGCACAGAGTTCAGGTCCCAAGACCGGACCCCCCCCCAAAATAAAACAGACATTCATTCCTTATGGTCAAGATTTAATGGGTGGTGTAAAACAGAAAAAGGCAAAACTAACTCCTTTTTTCAAGAATTTAGTAGACTAAGAAAGGTGGGTCACGTACACACACATACATATATGTGAAAGATGTCAGTGAGCTGAGAATCCAAAGGAAGAATGCAGAAGCAGTACTAAACAAAGTGGAGGTGGCGGATTTGTAAAGAGATGGCTCCAATATAGTTCTCTCAGCCGAGAAAAGGAAGCCAAGCCCATTACTTTCAGAAAGCAATGGTCAGTGCTAAAAGCAATTAAGAATGTAGAAAGACTGTTACCTCCATATGGAAGAAGCATTGACTAACTCATGAATTGAATGTCAGATAGAGTTACTTCATACAAAATATTTTAGTTCTAAGATGGCTATTTAGTAAATTTGGAATTTTTTAATAACAAAACTGGAGAACATCAAAAATAAGACTCAGGATTTCTTCAATTATGATCTTCTTTTCATTGTTTCTTCTTCTGAATATTGAATTATCTCCATCCAGTAAAATGTTAGATTAATAGTTGCTATGGTCTGAGTGTTCACTGAATCTGAAGATATGGAATTTGATCTGCCAAAATAAGAGATCATGATTTGTTCTCTTTTCCCTGTATCTTCTTGTAGGTATGATTTTGTAGAAGTTGAAGAACCCAGCGATGGAACTGTGTTAGGGCGCTGGTGTGGTTCTGGCGCTGTACCAGGGAAACAAATTTCTAAAGGAAATCAAATCAGGATAAGATTTGTATCTGATGAGTATTTTCCTTCTGAACCAGGATTCTGCATCCACTACAACATTGTGGCTCCAGTAAGTATCACTTGGAGATTCTAGACTTCCAGTGAACCTACTGTTTGTCTACTTGATTTCCTCCTTTTAAAATAGGAATCAGAAAACCAAAGACCTTTCACTGGTTTGAGTTTTTCCCACAACCTAAATGCCATCACTTTAGATCCTTAGAAATATTTAATGTCTAATCAAAATAATTAATGAAATATGTGCTTTTACATTTGTAGGATTATACCAAAGCCTTTCTTTAGCCATTCATAGCTGTTTGGTTTTTCAGCATTGATGGGAAATCACAAAGAAATTTTTTGTTAATGTATGTATAACTCTTTTATTATCTAGTGAACACCATAAAAATTGGACTTTTAGGACTGGAGGTATGGCTTAACTGGTAAAGCAACTAACTGCCTAGCAAGTGATAAGGCTGTGAGTTCAAATCCCAATACCATCAAAAGGAAAATAAAACATTAAAAAAACGGACTTTGTTGGGGCTGAGAAGGTGGTTCAGTGGTAGAGTGCTTGCCTTGCATGCATGAGGCCCTGTGTTCAATTCCTCAGCACGACATAAGCAGAAAAAGCCAGAAGTGGCACTGTGTGGCTCAAATGGTAGAGTGCTAGCCTTGAACTGAAGAGCTGAGGGACAGCGCCCAGGCCCAGAGTTCAGACCCCATGACCAACAACAAAAAAAAGGATTACTTTTTAATCTTACTAACTCTTGTTATTCAGAACCTGCTATCCTTATTTTCTAACTCCTTTTGGAATTAATACATTGCAGAGCTAGAACCTAGCGCTATTTGAGATTAATACCATTTTGACTGAATTTGTTGACTGAATTTGTTTTTGTTGTGACTTAAATATTCATGTTTTATTCATTTTACCATTTTCCATTAAAGTGGGATCATTTCTACTCATATTACATAACTTTAGGTATGCTGTTTATAAATATATACCTAACAACTTTTCTTTTTTTTTCTTTTCCCTAAAGAAAGGCAAACTTATCAGAGTTCTTTTAGATCAATATATCAAATATATTTTAAAAGTTAGTTACCTCTGTTCTCCTATTTAAGATTTATACTGCTTTAATAATATTCATGACCCTGATACCCAAGAATTTTTCACTCTTACTAGAATTTAAGGAATATTTCAATTTTGTCTAATTATAATTATACTTTGCAACATAATTATTTTCTTTTTGTATTTTATGTATTATTTCAAACATCTCTATCTGCTACTAGATCTCAAAAATGCTGAAAAATATGTTGCTGTTATTTATTACATTCTGTTCATAATCTAGCAGTTCTTATGTTTGTGTTTTGTAGTATGACTTTGAAATTTAACCAATAGTATCACAGTTAAAAAGGATTTAACAGCTGGTATATTTAACAAATTTGACAGAAGCAAGTAGAACACAATATGATGAAGGATACTTTTTTGACAGCATAAGTTCTTATTGAGCAGAAAAGCAATTACACAAGCAATAATACAAAGAAAATAAAAAAATTATGGAGCCAACATTTAATGTCGTAATTTTAAGTATAAATGTAGCTCAAAAACAATAAAATGCTATCTAAATTTGAAAATGATAATTCGTTCAGTTAATTGTATACTTTTAGTTAATTGTAATACTTTATTGCACAGATTGATGGTATCTCTAAAATAGAAATTTGTTTGTGACTCTTAATCAAATTCTTACATAGTTTATTTACATGTCTATATTTCTATCCCATTCTGAAACACATTTTGAGATCAGAGATTCTAACATTTTCTTTACTTTTGAAAATGTCTTAATTTAATAATTTGCATTTGAGATTTTAGGATTTAATAGAATTTAACCATTTGAACTAGAAATGAAAGTTATTTCAGTTACAGAAGTATATACATTTTAAAAATATTGTTGATATGCACTATTTTAGTACTGTGATTTTTTTTGTTTGACTAAAGCCACTAAGAATTATTCTCTGACTCCTGCCTTATAGAATTTATTATTTTGCCATTCACCAATGGCTCCTTCCTGTAATCCTAGCTACTCAGGAGGCTAAGATCTGAAGATCACAATTTGAACTCAGCCTGGGCAGGAAAGTCCTTTTCTGGGCAGGAGATCCTTTTCTGCAATTAACCACCAAAAAGGTGGAAATGGATCTGTTGTTCAAGTGCTAAACTTGAATAAGAAGTCTCAGGGACAGCACCTAAGTCCTGAGTTTAAGCCCCAGGACTGGGACAAATTTTTTTTTTAATGTATGTGTGTGAATACACACATATGTATATTAGTAGGTACTTACTCATTCCCATCCTAGGATAAAAGTAAATAGTAAATGAAAAAAGAGGTCTGGGAAGGCGAGTCAGTGGTAGAGGGCTTGCCTCTCATGGATGAGGCCCTGGGTTCGATTCCTCAGCACCATATAAACAGAAAAAGCCAGAAGTGGCCCTCTGGCTCAAGTGGTAGAGCATTAACCTTGAGCTGAAGAACTCAGGGATAGTGCCCAGGCCCAGAGTTCAAGCCCCAACAACAAAAGAAAGGAAGGAAGGAAGGAAGGAGGAAAGGAAGGAAGGAAGGGAAAACGAAAGAAAAGAAAGGGTGTGACTCTTCTCTTCACATTATGCTAATCTAATGTTTCTGCTACAAAAGAAAACTCAAAAGCTGATCTGGATGTATGCCAAGAGTAAGGGTTATCTTTTTATGATTTTTATGACTATATTATCTGAAGCATGTGGATTAAATTAAATATCTCGAGACAGGAGCACAGAATGTTTATAGCACCCAGTTCAAGGAGCCCATTATGATCTGTCAATACTTAAATGTTGAAATGATTACATACCTGTCACCCTAGCTGAACTAACACAGGGTTTGCTGACAAATGCACTGCATATCTCTGTCAACCAGATTCATCAACTTTATATGAATCTGACAGACATGTATAGATATACTGATAGACATTTATGGATTATAGATATTACCATTCATTTCATTACCAAAGAAAACCCCTGTCACCTGAGACCATGCAGGACAACTAAGAAGCCTTGGGTCAAGTGTGAACCATCATTCAATTCAGTACCTTTGTAAATAGTTACTAAGACATTTTGATCAATCATAAATATAGCCTTTGATGGACTGACATTAAGTCTCACAGTGTTTTTGAGTCCTGCTTTCTAAATTGACCTACCTGGACTATAAGTACATGAATGATGGCTTGCAGGGGCATTGCAACTAATCTGACCATACCGAAATAATAGTTGATCTTGGGCTGGAGAAAATAATAGAGTTTGAAGGTAGGGAAGGTCTTACATTGTCAAATAAGTATATATTTGATGATTTTTAATAAATACTACCCCCTGAAGAGGTTAATTTGTATGTGTGTGTTGTATAAATTTTCCATTGTCACAAATTGGCTCTTCTTTAAATTTGTTTAAATTTGCTTTGACAGTTTGCCTGCTATTTCCTCCTGTCTCTTGTATTCTAATTCACCTTTCTCCTCACTTGTAGACACACTCATTCTACTCTTAATAATTGCCTGCAAAGGGGAAGGCTTGATGAGTGAGAAATGGACAGGTGATTATACTTTTAAGCTTTGCAGAATGTTTTGAGTTATCCTTGTATATTGCTAAGTGACATCTCCCCATGCCCCATGCACCTCTGCACACTAGCTAGGCAGCAATGAATCAGTCTTATCTTTGCATCACATAAATGAAAGCCTGAAGGAAGAAGGTTTCCCTCTTAGAGAATAAGCTTAATGGTTCTTATGGCATTTGCTCAGGGGCAAGTGCCCCTACAATCCCCTGTATCATCTCTGATATTTTGTTTTTTTCTCTTTCTCTGCTGAGTACTTCATATTAGCAAACACTGTGCCCCAGAGGTTGTGGTTGGAATGATTGCAAACCCACTGCTACAATATGCCCCTTGATGCTGCTACCACAATGGCTCCTTCACTTTGAAATGACAAAATACGATTCACAAGTCCTTTGTAGACTGTGAACTTTCTGAAATGAGGTATGATATGAGTGCCTGACTCAATACCAGACCCATTGCAGCTTCAGTTTAGGATTTCATAGCTATTCAGCCATTTCCCTTAGAATTGCTGAACTGCAACTGCTCCTCATATGAGATAAGTCACTTGTGCTACTTCTGCATCGTTAAGGTCATACATAACTAGAAGCATAGAATTACATCACATATTCTCCTGCTCATGACTCAGTGTGCTATCTCACTGAGGACAGAATCTGTCCGTACTGTAGGAATATGACAAGGGATTCTTTGTTTACAGTGAGGAGGGATGGGTAATGACACATCCACCAGAATTGAAGAACATAACACATATTTATCATTTTCTTGTTCTTAGTATGTATAATGTTTTTCTTATCTTCAGTAATCAACTTAAACATATTTTTTGAATTGTTTATGGGGCTTGTACTCAGTTCCTGGGTGGTGACCCAGAACTCTTTTGCTCAAGGCCACCCAGCACTGTACCACTTTGAGCTACACCTTCACTTCCAGTTTTTTTCGTGATTGGAGATAAGAGTTTCACTATCTTCCCTTACCAGGCTGGCTTTCTACTGAGATCCTCAAATCTCAGCCTCCTGAGTAGCTAAAAGTATAGACATGAGTCACCTGGGGCCCCACAGCTAAACAACATTTTATACCTATTTATAAATGGAAAACTTAAGTCAAAGCACATTTAATTTCCATGGAAAATTACAGAAAAATTGTTTTTAAATTCCTTATACTTTGTAAGTAAAGAGATACCTCTTTGTGAGCAGGAATGGATGTCTGATTCTATTCTACCTTTAGTGCCCTCAGGATTGGATTACCCTGTGTCTTAAGTGAACAGTTTTAAATATAGGATAATATTCTCACTAGTAGCTTTTGACACATAGATTGTTATTAAAAACTATGTCCATCCTTGTAAGATGACTGTCCATTAGTTAATAAATAATAGGCCATCCGGCTAAATAATAAATGATACCTTATTTTTTAAATGAAGTGTTGCTGATTGAATTTTTCAACACCTCTGTCTTATAAATACATCTCT